TGAAAAGATGAAATGATTCTCTTTTGAGTAAAGAGGTAGGAAAATTTCCTATGACCTCATTATTTTACTTTGAAAGAGATGATCACACAAAGATGGAAGCGAGGTTAGGAAAATTTCCAGTGATACCACTATTCGCCTACATTTTTTGAATGAAAAAAAAAGGAGAAAATTAAAAGGGGAGAAAGCTGTCTTGAGAATGTTTTCTGGTTGAGTATGCAGATGTGTAGACTAGTCTGAGTGAAGCAGTGTGTGTGAAAGCTCCTCATCAGAGAAATAGCTACCTCACTGAGCTGGTGGGTTTAAACAGTTTTTTACAGTTCGATGTGCTTGCTCCTGTGTACATCATGTTACTTCAGGAACTCAGTGTTCAAAGGTATGTGGTTGGTGCATTTATTGAGTGACTCAAAATGAATTGAATTTTTAATATGATGTTTCATGGAAAACAATTATGGATCTCTAACATGGTCACTTCCTGCCTCTGGTTGTTTAGTGGTTGCATGTGATATTCCTGTGCTTAACAGTGTTTAATCTGTACAGAGTGCATGTTAAAACAAACAAAGCAAGGGTGAATTTGTTATCTCATCGGTTAAAACCGATTTATGTATCTTATTGGAATTTCGAGTTTTTGAAGCAATTACAGGTCTGCTTGGTTGTGAAGGAGTTTTATGCCAATCTTGCTGAGTTGGAAACTCGTGCTGACGGTCTTACATTTGTCTACTGGATTCCTGGCACAAATCGGACTACCCTGTGGACTGATCGTCTTCTGCTGATAGATATGGTGCTGTCCTCCCAGAGAGCTGTTCTGACTCTGCAAACTGATACATTATCTCGTTCTCCTGGAGTATTCAAGGTCGAGACTACTGAAGCTCAGAATGCTACACCTCCGTTTCAGACATCAAGGACCTTGCTTCGTGATGATCTTGTAGATCTCCTGGCTGTAGCTACCCGGATGAAGCGTCGCCTGGACGGTAAGTGTCTGTTCTCCTTCATCTGATTTTCCTGTTTAACTTGATTGCTTTTGGTTTTTACATGAATGTGCACTCAAGCAGGGGGAGAATAATTGTGATGGAAATCCTGCTGGGGATCCTAGTGATGAGGGACTAGTGGCTGATTAGTTTAGACTAGGCCTACTAATAAGGGGGAGCAAATGTGTAGTGTGTCTTTGATAGATTTTGCACTACTGTTCTGTATTTGCTTCTGTTGGGTGTTGAACCTTGCACATGGTTCTTGGTGTATATCTTGGCAAACTAACCCTGACAGGTAGCTCTGGAGCTTGAGGTGTCACATTCAGGTAAAAAGGGGGAGATTGAAGACATATGGATGTCGAGCTACAGGAAGATCCTGTGGAGCACAGGAGAGAGTTGTATGCGGGAAACTGCGAGACATTAAATGAAGATGACGTGGCGAGCAGTGATTGGTGATTGGAAGTTTCCAGAACGTGATGCTCAAGTTATTCGATGTATTGAAGATACGATCAAATCAAAGAAAGAAGATTTGGTGTGATCTGAAGATTAGGAAAGTTGTCTATGACGCTTCCTTTATATTCGCAGTCTAGACTTTAGGTTTAGGTGGGCGTTTAGAATATCTCTGTGAATCTCAAGTACTAAGCTAGAAGCTGTTAGGGTTCTTGGTGAGTGAACATAGTGTATGCATAGCTGTTGCTGTGTTGTGAGTTTGGGTAGATTAAGGATTGGTCAGTGACGAGTTGTGTCAACATCGTGTAAATCTGATTAAACATATCTTGTAGATTGATTAAGTGATTCTTAATAAAGGAAAAGAAGTTCTTTTCAATTGCCTCAACATCTATATAATAACAGCGACTATATGTCATTCTACCAAAAAATATTATATAAGAAATCTGCTATCACACTCCAGATTTTTCGTTAACGTAAAAAAAAATTTCATAACGTAAAATAAATTTGTTATGACTTGAATCAAACTAGTGATTATTTTTTCATTAACAGATCTGCTACATTATGGCAGATGTTTTCCTAGAAATATAAGTCTAGCGCTACTAAAAAAATAAATCTACCACATATTCTAATAAATTTGTTAAAATTACGATAGTCTGTGGTGTCATCATAAAATTAGTCCGTCGAAGGAAAAAAAAACTGCTACAAAATAAATATTTGTCGTAACCATATTCAAATAAGTATGTGAGAGGAAAAAAAAATTAAGTCTGTAATGAAAAATAAACCTTTCACAACTAAATCCGCTGACTTTTTTAAAAGATTTTTTTTCCGAAATCTTTCCCCCACGAAATAGGATATTTTTGTCATGAAAATAACTAGTTTACCATTACGTTTTATGAGTTATTCTAGTATTGATTTTAAATCATGTTTTAAAATATGGTGTTATTAGATCTTATATTTGTAAATTGTTGAAACAATGCAGGTGATGCTTAAATAGTGATATTCCATTCGGATTTCAAATACATCACTAAAATCCAGTTTTATATATACAGAACTAATTATTTTTAAAATCTTTATATATTGAATCATTTGAAAAAAAGAGAAAAATCCTGAGCTTTGTAAGTAAATTATTAGAAACAAAATCTAAAGTAGAATGTAGAGATTTTAGAATCCAAACACATGAATTCTAGAAAATAATATCAAATCAATAAGATTATAAAACCTAGATAATAACTTTAAATCTAGGGGTAAATGAGGATAATATTTCGCATTGAGGATTTGTGTTTGTGGGTTAGGATGTTCGGATGCATCATTACCATTGTAGATTTTACCCTTCTTCTCTGAAAGGAATCAGGGTGATAAGAAACATTTCTTCACAACATGGAGTCTATCGTCCCAAAGTAGTGTGTTTTAGTGCATGAATCTCACTCCAAATCTTTCCACTGATTAAATAACTAAATTACCCTTCTTTATTGAGAGAAAGTAATGAGAAAGTCAAGTTTTCACGCTAAAATAATTTTTGGCGCCAAAAACTTTCCGTAACAGTCACTAATTTCCCGCCAAAAAAATTCCGATGAAAATTTTAGAAAGCCCTTGTAAATCTTTTTAAAACTCTTAAAAATCATTTTGTCATTCCCAATGAAATAAACATTAAATGGTTTCTTATCTACCGTAGGGTTCCCTTCCGGTCTAGAAATGCGGAATGTTCTCTCCCTACCACTTAGTCGCTTCCTTTTAATCTGCATAACCTGCATCTAACTTTTGTAGCTTTCTTTTGGTAAAGAAGCATGTGTTCTATTCTAATAAAAAGAGAGCTTAAACGTATTGCGAAGGATCCTCATACACATTGGACCGCATGTATTTTCGTTTCTAGGCTTACCACGATCGAGTTATTTGGTGTTATGATTTTATATATTTTCTTGAATCTACTACGGTCTATATGCTGCTACTAGTGTACTGTTAATGTAGTGATATAATATATTCAGACATCATAGGAAATCCATTTATATCGTCCTCATAGGCACTTTTCTAGGAGAAAAAAAATTCTATATATATATGCATTTTTTTCTCTCTCTTATTACTGTTTTATATTTATGTTTCTCTAATCGACTTCCATATTTTAAAAATCTTTTAGTATAAGATCATGACTATTTGTTCATATGTTGTACAAATTTTAATATTGTCATTTACATCCAAGAACTAGAATCATAAAAACAAAATGTGTTTGAACTATTCTGCACAAGTAGCTGACCACATATATTTTTTATAGCGGAAGAGAGCAAACATTACATTTGATCTTATTTGAATCTTTTTGGCTACCAATTTGATGCAAACCTACCAAAAAATATTAATAATAAAATAAAATGTCATTTACATCCATCAACTAAAATAATACAAAAAATATGTTTGAACTATTTGACACAATTTGCTGACCAAATAATTTTTCTTCTACTATTAGAGAACTATAACATGACATTTTCTACTTCATTTGAATTATTTTAGCTACCAGTTTGAAGTAAATCTACAAATGTACATTTTATCATTTATTTTTTCATTTACTCTCAACTCATTACAATAATAGTTAGGTCTTCTACAGTTTGGCTATAGAGTTACTTTCAAATTTTCTTTGTACACTGATATCTCTTTCTTCTTTATGAGTTGTGTGTGTCTTATTCTCATTATAACAATTGATTGGGAATAATGTCCAATTCTTTCGTTTATTTACCAGAACTGTTAATTTAATAGTGTTCAATCTCTGTTGATATGTCGGAGTAGCTATTGTTAATCTAAGTTTAAATTTTCTTGTTAGTCCATGAACTGATTTCATTGTGAAAGATTCAGTTTTTAGTCTCTGCATATCTCTAAGTCTTGTTTCTCTCTATCGTATAATTGCTTATAGAAAATGTTTTGTTGAAAAAGTCGAGACAAGAGGTCAAACACATTGTATGTGATTAATTAGATACAACATTAATTAGCCAAAATTCAAACACACATCAAACTTACTCTAAAGAAAGAGACGAAAATACATTCAAGCTGATAACAGACTCTTAAGAAACACATAAATTCTATACTTAAAGAAACTTAATCAAATAAAGCTAAGCGATATTTCAAATTTCTACACCGTACCTCAACAAATTAATTAAAACAAAAAAAAAGATTAAAGCAAAAAATGTTTTCTTGTCTCATGTGTTCTTTCTTATCTTTTTCTCTATTCCAAACATTATGAAAAATAAAAATAAGAACCATTTTACAGTTTTTATTTTGTGGATAGAAGTTTGAATGAGTAACAAAGAGCTTTAACAAGATCAAAGACATAAGCCGGTTTGGTTCAGCTAAACATGATGCACATACTCATCCAGTCATCCTCGTCTTTTTGTATCGATCTAATGATGGATGAATACAGATGAGAGATCACATCTCTATATATAAAAGAACACCTCTAAAAACAGATGGTTAGAGTTAAAATGATCACACACACACCTCTAAAAAAGAAATAAAGAAAGTGTCGGTGGATTTGTATTGAATGTGAGACTAATATCTAATTGATTGAAGCTAATTTCTATCGATTTTCTTTTGGAGAATAATACATGCAAAGTATTCTAAATATCCTCCATGATCAAGTAGAACCTTTCAACAATCTCTACTCATTCAAAACTAACGAACAAAAATAAGAAAGAAAGCCCACAAATGAAAATAAAGTAAAAAAGACTTGAAGTAAAAAATAGTAAATCTTCAAGTTTGGCCTAATAATCCGGTTAGGCCAAAAAAAAAGGTCTTTGTCGTGACAACTACGCCCATCTTCATCAATGTACTAAGTGTGTTATTTTACAAATCCGATTACTTATTCTACTTTTTTTCTTATCTTTCTCTTTTATATTTAGTAACAACTGAACATAAGAAGTAAACTAATATGTTTAAGACCAATTCATTTGTTCCCATTCCCAAAAAGGTTGTGATAGCCCATCAACCATATCTGAGATGCTTTGTGTAATAGTAGTAGCATTCTCCGGTAGATCAACTTGGTTTCCTCCTGAATGTGAAGTTTCTGGTGAGGTTGATAATGTGGAACGAGATGATGTCTCAACTCCATGGCTAGGAAGCGTTCTCTCTATCGCATAAGCTTCTGTGGGACGTCTGTCAAAGGCTCTCGAGCTTCCTGACTTTATGTAGATTCGACAGATACTGAATTCGTTCCTCAACTATATTGAATAACAACAAACTTCGTTACAACCTTATTTGATCAAGAAAGATTAACTATTGTTTTTCTTAGATATTATCAGTAACTTAGATACTAACTTATGCATCTTAGGATATAGAAATTCTATGAATCTAATATATAACCTATAGAGGAAAGAATGCATGCATGAATTTTTACTTTTTTTTTTTATGTTCAAGATTGAAGATTAAAAACCGGATTAAGATTTGAATGGCCACGATTAAATGTAGAGATTGTTGAGATCTTTTAAGGAAATTGAATTGAATATGGATGTAATTGTGGTAAGGATTAGTTATGCTTAATATATTAGGTTAAGATTTTTGGAAATGATTTTTTTATGTTAATATCTTTGTTTTAATTTTGAAAATCTAAATAATTAATGTTAATGACATTTGATCGTAAATAAGTTGGAACTCTAAGATTTATTTCATAAATGTCTCCAAAAATGTATATATAGCTGATATAAGTAAGCCCTGATATATGCGATTATATATATATATATAAACATCTATGATAAAGATTTTGGACAGAATCAAAGGGTGATTCGTTTTGAATTTTCTATGCTGTAATAAATGTTTTAAAGATTATTCTGCTAGTTTACTGCGCATGCTTGTCCAAAAAGGTGTTGAGACATCAGTTTTTTTTTATATTGGAATCCCACATATAAAATAGAATTAATTTGGTATTTGAGAAAAAGAACTTGTTCAATTAGTATTTGATGAAAATCTTCATTTTAAAGAAGTGGTTATGCACCTTTGGGATGGTAGTAGCAGTAGTAGATACACTGGCTGTTTCAACTGCTTTGTATTCATTCATCTTCCACTGTGTCTTTCTCCCAGTAGGTGCTTTTCCGGTATAGAAAACCATCGTCTTCTTAACTCCGATCACTCGGTTATCCGGCGAGAACACGGGGCCTGGTGAACCAGTTGCTTTCCAGTATCCTGAACCAGTGGTCCTACTCGGTCTTCCTCCTCTAGCTTCCCGCTCTTGTCTTGGCACGAAGAAAAGCCATTGTTCTGCGTCTCCTCGACACCTCTCTCCCGCAAGATCTACAAAACCAAACCCTCAATTTATGTGTTTTGCCTTACATGTTAATTAATTTAAACTTTATCGAAAATGAAATTGTTTAATTTTAGAAATGTCATTCTTTATAAAGTTTTTTTTATAACATATATAACCACAAAATCAAGAAACACAAACAAAGAATTGAAACTTAAATCTCAAGTCGACAACATTACTCTACTCAAGATACACAAGAAAGAAAACTCTACAGTGAAACGACGTGACGTTATGCTCCTAATTATTAACTACATATCTAAACGACAAACATATCAATATATCATCGACATAATTTATAGCTAATGATTGCATACGTACTTGGAAGCTGCGTAGGCTCAACGCTAAACACATCGAGGATCGGTATGAGACTGTGAATGGTGGCATTTCCTCCACCAAGCTGGATTCTTAGGTAATACGTAAGAAGCTCTACTTCTGTCGGATAGAACCGAAACCCTACGGGAAGCTCTTCCTCCATTTGCTTCTTGAATAAAGCTAAGTGAAACCTCATGGACTCATGATGAGTTTAAATAGGTGCAAGTAGAGATTGGTTTCTCCGAGTGAAATGAGAAAAGTTTTACGCGTTTGGACTTTAGTTTTTTGTTTATGTATATTATTATTTGTCTTTTCATATTTTGTTGGAGAATTGGACTCGGGCCCATATTTGTGATAATTTCGTGCCATTTCTATCATGTCTATACGTGAGATAGTGAGTGCTTTTCACAAACCACATACCTTATCATTGAATAAGTCAAGGCTTCTTACTAGTCTTCTTCTAATATTCATTATTATCTCGTCCTATTTTCCATTGTAATTACCTCCATGCATGTTCAGTTTTTGGTAAAAGGGTCGAAATAAATAAATCATATAAAGATTTTTTTTTTCACTTTTATCAAAAAACAAATATATAAAGATTTTTTTTATGTATTTGCTTTTACAATTTTTTTTGTCTAAAACTATATGGGAAAATTGAGTAAAGTAAATTCAAATATTGCATAGTAAATGTTATAATGATTAATAATATGAAACAAAAATAAATGGTTAGAACGTCTTACAAATTGAAACGAGGTAACATCATCTTCAAATGATTTTTGATGAATTTCGGTCATTTGGTCTACATTTGTTTTAGGTTTGGATGAGCTAAATATATCTTATTGAAGTTCAAAGCATAAATTATCCATTCTAGTGGCATTTCAATTTATATTTTGTGGATTAATACAATCCGCCGAAGCTAAATAAGCTAAAAACATTTAAGGAAAAAAAACATTTAGTTCTACGGAGTTGTTAGACGGGGTATCACATTGACACATTGGGATGTGGAGCTAACGTTTTTGGACATCAGCTATGACGTTCAGCTAACCCGGAAGTAAAAACATTTATGGTTAATAATTTTCTTTAGTTTGAATTAGTAGAAGTCTTTTATAGAGAAAGAGATTGTTAATTGTTTTATCATGTCGCATATTAGTTATCATGTCGCCAATTAATTATCTCGGAGACAAACAAAAATACTCCCTCCGTTTCGTATTAAATATCGTTTTAGACTTTGAATTTTGTTTTAAAATAAGTGTCGTTTTGTATTTTCAATGCATATAGTATGACACAAACATACATGATTATCCACCTACCTATTCAATATTAATAAATTTTGAAAGTTATTGACATTATTTGAATAATTTAAATATGCTTGAATTGAATAGTAGTTGATTAATTAATGATTGTTAGTACGAGTATTAAATAAAATAAAAGATTAATATTATGTAGAACTAATAAACTGATGCTCATTATTTTTTTAAAATGACATGTAATATATACTTTTTCGGTTTCAATATAACCAATGTTTTAGAGAAAAACAATTGTTTCAAATTTAGTGATGTTTTCAATTTTTTATGCAAAAAATAAATGTCTTAATTTTTTTGACCAATTGTATTTTACATTTTATTTTCTAATTGGTTGAATTCAGTTTATTTAACAAATTTTGTAGGAAGTAGGAACCAAGAAGTGAAGAGACAAAGCAAGAGACAAGGCAGGGTGAGATAAGTGTTCGTGTGGTCCTCTGAACATTATTAATCCAAGAGTGAACAAAAGATTATAAAATCGGGTGGAAAGTTTCAATTAAGAAAAAAAAAGTTTCAATTAAGTTCATTAACACGTAATAACTAAATGGTGTTGACAGAAAAAAAAAAAAAAAAAAAAAAAAAAAAAGAAGCCCCCAATAACTAAAGTGCAAGTGTTCATACATTCATTCATGATTTCATGTACACGAGCAGTGAACGTTATACTAATTGGTCCATTAGGTCCACAAGAACGGTTAAAGATTTTTAAAGTTTCATGCTTGTGTAGTAAATCAATCTTTCAAGCAGAGTTTCCATGATTTTTTTAATAGTGTTCCCAATTAGTCACATGGTTTATATTAATGTTAGAACATCACAAAATTTTGGGAAACACTATAATCATATATTTAAAAAACGGTTCGTATTTCTGTCGAGAAATGCTTTAGAAAATATTTAGTTTCTCTCAAGAAATATCCCATCTTTTATACATTGGATAAATGAAAGTATATATATATATATATATATATATATATATATAAGTTTATATATGAACTTATTCAAAAAAAGGTATATATATGAGCTAAGATGACCTTTCTCTTTGTTTTGACATCAGCTCTGATGTAATTAACCTCAAAACTTATATTTGATGAATATATTTCTTTAGTATTAGTCCACACAAGACTCTTTCCTAGTGAAATTGATGGTTTTATCATGCCGCTCAATAAATTTTCTCATAGACTTCTTATTCTTTTTTTTTTTTTTCACTGAATGATATTGATATTAGATTCGGAAAGGTTACAATACATGAGAAAGAAGAGATTAAACTACGGAGAGACACAATGCTCGACCCATAACCTACAAGAGGAAGGAAGATTTCGATAATACATTGCAAAAAACCAAACTAATCTTGTCTCAAGACTAACTAAGCTCTTGAAGCTCACCATAAGGACTTCCCGCACAACAATCTATGAAGACGGGTTTCAACACTTAAGGCAATAACAAGATAGTGGAACTTGGCCTTCTCGGTAAAAGATGCATATTTCTCAAATAATGCCTTGTCACGGGTCTCCCGGATGAACCGTAAGATAATCGAGAACCGCAAGACCTTTCAACGCCACAACTAACAAGTATTGAAGCCAACCAAAGCTTAATACTACGGAATAAACCTCCGAACTGACACAAAGAGCTCAACCCCAAACTAACATCGAGTAAATTAGTCGAGGAGGAGAAACTGAAGCCCAAACAAGGGAGACGATAGCCCAAAAGAGGGGAGCATTATAAACGACCCAACACTCCAAAAGCTAAAACTTAATAAGCGATTGCAAGATATGGGGCTAACGAGAAACAAAGCAATACAAGAGAGGACAACCGTAGAGACGAAGGAGATACCAAGTTGTCGAGAGACAGATCCGATGTTGCACAGAATCGCCAAGGGAGAAAAGTAAGCGCCGTCGAGAGGACAAAAGAGAGGTTTTAGAAAACGCCTAACCTCAACGGAGAGAACCACCGGCCAAACCAGAAGCTATCCGTGACTCCACTTCGTGACACCAGAACGAGATCGGTGACACCAACAATCGACCAACAGATCCATCAGACTTCTTATTCAAGCACCCAAATTATAACAAATTAAAAAGACTTTATTTTTGTTTTGACATCAGCTCTGACGTAATTAATCTCAAACTTATATTTGATGAATTTATTTCTTTAGTATTAGTCCACACAAGACTCTTTCCTAGGCCTGGGCGTTCGGTTTACTCGGGTTATTCGGTTCGGTTTAATCGGTTTTTCGGGTTTTTCGGTTTTATAAAATTTTGCCGAATTGAACCGAATAATAATTCGGTTCGGTTTAATCGGAACTCGGTTTTTTCGGTTCGGTTCTAGGACTAAAAATCAATTCCGAAGTAAACCGAAAATTTTTCTACTTCGGTTTTTTAAAACCGAATTAGACCAAAATCAAGATAATGGGCTTCGTAAACAGAAAATTACAATTACAAACCAATAAATAATGGGCCGAAACAAACAAACCCAAGCCCAAATTAAATTACAATTACAAATCCAAATCCAAAAAAAATTAGGGCTGATGAAAGCTTGCCGCCGCTACTCTCTTCCTAGCCAACGAGCCGTCGCCGTCGCCGTAGAGAAATATTTCTCCGATGAGATCTATCACCAACCATCATCAAAACCACATCGATTCAAATCCATCATAAAATTAAGAAAAAAAGGAAAAGAAAAACAAAAACAAAATTGAAAATCGTTAGATCTGAAGACTTACTTTCTGAAAACAAAATCTGGTCGAAGCTAGTGATGAACGGCCAACCCATGTCGAAACTGAACCACGGTATCGATGTTGGAGAGTCTAAAAAAGAAGTAAGGAGAAGAAGAAAGAAGTAAGGAGAAGAAGAAAGAGTGGAAAAAGAAGGATCGTAAAGGAGAGGAGAAGAGATGAAATGAATTAGATCTAGGGTTTTATGTTTTTATACCATGTTCCCTTAAACCGAATTAACCGATCGATAACCGACTACCGAACCGACCCGAACCGACATCCGATTGCCCAAACTAATTTTGCCGTTCGGTTTGGTCTAATCTCTTCGGTTTTCGCCGAAAACCGAAAATCTCGGGTTGATCGGGTCGGTTTGATCGGTTTCTGCCGTTTGCCCAGGCCTACTCTTTCCTAGTGAAATTGATGGTTTTGTCATGCTGCTCAATAAACTTTCTCATAGACTTCTTATTCTTTTTTGAGCAAAGAGACTTCTTAGGGTTTAGTATAATCATAATAGTAAAACTAGATGATGTTTCCTGCTATATATGCATGAAACTAAAATATTTTTGAAGTATTAAACAAGTTAAAATATTTTTATTTTATGGTTGAAAATGGTAATGATATTCAATCCGATTTATTTTGAGACTAGGGTTTAGTATAATCATAGGGTTTATTAGTATATTGACCAAAAATTTTATCAATATAAACCATCTACTATACATTTTTGCAGCAGTTTTTGGGGTACCCAAATCGGGTCAAATTTGTTTAATTTTGACCCGGAAATCTTCAATCGGATCTTTCCTTAAATTTTGGCAAAATTAAAAAACGAAAATAATTAATAAAATCTAAAATATATATACTTTCTCAACTAATTACTATATTTAAACGCTTTATTTATGGTATATTCTCCACGATTTTTATAGATAAAGAAATCAAATATGATGATTTAATGCTAATATAACAAATTTGCACTAATTTCCTAAAACCTCTCTACCTAATTTAAACATAAATATATGATTCTTATTTCACTTTTATTTGATCTTATATTTATATTATTTTAAATTATTATAAAATATATAAATAGTTAGTAAATTTTAGTTTTTTTTTTTTCTGCATATGTTACAATTCAAATTTTTTAAAACGGACATATATTACTCAATCGATGAATAAAAATATGTGTGTAATCTATATTAACATTTTTAAGAACAAATTGAGCATTTAATCATGTCGTTATTTTATTCAGACCCGAAATTGAGTCATTCGGATCTTTCTTTAATTTTTACAATTATCTAAAATGGGACAGTATATCACGGGTGAAATCCTAATTAGTATTTTAAGATACAATTATAAATTATTTTTACGGGTTGGTCTAAAAACACACACTAATTTAAAAATATACATGGAAACTATTTGAAAGCAACTTTCAAATTAACTCGAATTATATGACATTTAAATAAAAGTGTTATTAAAAAAATAACAAAATGATGTTTAATTTCATTTTAGATTATATGGTTGGACGGGTTTGGGTCAATATTAATACGAGACAATATACCACAGGTGAAATCCTATAAATAACAAATCAAAATACAATTATACAATCTTAAACACTAAACAAAACAAATACAACTTAAAATTTTTTATTTTAGATACAATGCATGTGACCCGCGGTATACAACAAAAAATATTATACACAATAAATTCATCAATTTATAAAAATAAAAAAATCAAATAATTAACCCGCGGTGTACCGCGGGTCATATCCTAGTGAAATATAAGAAAGTATAGTAAAACTTTGTTTTTTTTTTTTTTTTGTATAGTCAAATCATTGTATTTACGATGGAGTGGATAAACCTAAACAATGTGGCTCTTGCTCATAATATAATACTTTATTCCAGTAATTAACGTTGGAAACCAATGACGAACATAAATCGAAAATGACTGATTTTAATAGAACTTCACGCAGATTAAAAAAAAAAAAAAATTGGGAGCTACAAGTTTTCTCTCTCGCTCTAAAGCTCTCACTTTCTGATAATGAAAAGAGATTATTACAAATGATTAATATAAAAAAAAAAAAATCTAGGAGATACATGTATATAAAAATCTAGGAGATACATGTATATGCCTATAGAAAAATCACTTTTTGAACAATATACAAAATGAATATTTAGGCTTATGGATTCATAAATTCATTCACATAATGAATATTTAGGGGAAAATAATGGTCATAAATGCGTGCTAAAAGGCACTCAAGTGGGAGAGAGGTGTTGGTGTGGTCCTAACAGTATTCGAAGAGTGATTAAAAGACTATAAAATTGGGTGAAATTTTTCAAAACATGAATGGGTTCATTATGTCTTTAAGTTGACACATTCATACATCAGTAAAAGTGGCAAGTGTACATTGTTCAAACATTTATATGCACAAGTAGTGAACGTAAGACTAATTGGTCCAAGTGGTCAAAGAGCTCATGATCATATTACTATATTAATATAAACTAATTCGTGCAATCTAATTGTGTATATCGACTTTTGAAGTTTCATGCATGCGCCGTAAATAACTTTATTATTTCATCTTTCATGTAGATCCATGATTTTTTTTTCGTGATTGTAGTTTTACACAAAACATATAAATTATTTAACAAAAGGCGTCAGTGATATATGATATGCTCATTAATTCTATGCATGTAAGAATTCTTTAATTCGCTAATATAGAATTTATGTGGATATAAGTTACACAAAAGAAAAAAAAATCAAGTTAATCATTAGGTCTTAAAAAATGTGAGATTCGTTTATGTTTTTACAAATGTGAGTTTAGAGAAAAATAACAGACAAAAAGTTGCATCACATGTAAAATAGTCATGCCCGACTTTTGATTTCATTATTTTTTTTTAATTTTTTTTTATTGGTGAAGAAAGTCGTGAAAATGTTGATTTTACATGTCTCATGTAAGACAACAGCAGAAATTTTCTCGGAAACTGTCTTCGCTTTTGATTCCGGAGACCCAAAAGGCAAAAAGTCTTGTTTCTTTTGTCTAAAAGACTAAAACTCTACATGCTGGAAAGAGATAACGAAAAGGTCAAATCATATTCTCTTCTTCTCTTTTTGGAATAACAGATCTTCATATTCTCGGAAAATGTCTTAGATTATATTTTTCATCTTTTTTGTTTTTTGGTGAAGAGTCTTAGCTTATTCAATGTGGTTTATATATTCAATTAAAAAAATAATCTATCATATATTTATTAATAAAGATAATATATTTGTCATCGTTTTTACTATAAACTAGCGATTAACCAGCGGTACACCGCGGGGTGATTTTTTCTAAAATTTATGATTTTCAAAATTTTTAAATTATGTATTATATATAAAAATTAGCAAATTGTATTTTTTTTAAGATATTTATAATTTATAGTTTATAATTGTCATTAAGTAATGGTATACTACGGAACAAATTTTGTTTTACACAATTTTAACTAAATTAGACTGATTCGATATGTCTAATATTACAGATCTTCCAAAATAATAAAATGGAGATTTAACCCGTATTGAAGGGACATGTTAATGATATTTTAAAATTTTATTAATTTTGATTCAAACCTGTCCCGCTATATAACTCTACCCCGCCATATAATTCCGTCCCGTAATATAACCCGTCATGTGTTAGTTTAAACTGTTGATATGTTCAAATATTTATAATATTATTAAAAATTTATTGATTTTGAATATATAAATTATAATAATTATTTTTTAAAAAAATTATACAGATTTTTTGAATTCCGATTGTTAGTAGTATTAAAAAATTTCTCAAATTCGTTTGTATGAATATTTGTTTGGGCGATTTTGTGTTGATAATATAGGACAATATATGGTAAGTGATTTTGAATTAAAAATCTTAATTTAAATAGAGTATAAATAATCATTGTCTAAATATTAGAAAAGATTGTCTCCAGATTTTTGGCAAATAATTAGATTAACATATATTTAATTAAAGAAACAAATCTTGAGAATTAATGTTAATGGCATTAAATTGTAAATAAGAGCCAACTCCAGGATTTATTTCAAAAATATATCCGAAAATGTATATATAGATTTAAATTGAGTATATATTTTTGATTAATAATTTTTATTTTATGTTCTTATCAACCGAATATTTTATTACCTATTTAGCTATAAGACCAAAATCATCTACTCATCTCTTCATCACTCTATATTTATAAAATACATATTTCTCAAATTATCATTTTCAACTACAGATTTCTTAATATTTTTTTGTTAAGAGGCTTGATAATATCTCTTAATTATACTTTCAAAATTACCCTTTTTAATTTATCAAAAATGCACTCATATTTTTAACTAATTTAACTCTCTTTTTTTTTCTAATTTGATGAACCATGTAACTTAGTGGTTTGTGATAATCGTTGATTTGTCATCTTTCAGATCTAACAAACTTTCCCTTTCAATTATGATTATGCTTCATTAAGTTGGAAATAAACATAGAATGTTCCTTAAATACAAACATCTAAACCAAGAATATGGTTAACCAAATGAGAAAGATAAACCGGAACAATAACCAATATATAGACTCTGATACTCCCCCTCAAGATGGAGAGTACAGGTGATGAAGTCCCATCTTGGACAGTAGATGATTGAACTGAAGTGCAGTGAGAGGCTTAGTGAGTAAGTCGGCGATCTGATGTTCAGTGCCTATGTGCAGCGTCTTCAAGAAACCAGAAGCTACACGCTCTCGAACCACATGAACATCCCGAGTAATATGCTTAGTCCTCTCATGATAAACAGAGTTCTTTGCAATATGTAATGCAGCCTCATTGTCACAATACAGTACAATTGTGTCATTGAGAGGAACCTGCAAATCCTCAAGAAGTGAATTTATCCAAATCAACTCACATGTAGCATTTGCCATGCTTCTGTACTCAGCTTCAGCAGAACTGCGACTAACCACATCTTGTTTCTTGGATTTCCAAGAGATTAAAGAATCTCCAAGAAACACACAATAGCCAGAAATCGATCTGCTACTCTCAGGACAGTTGCTCCAATCAGCATCAGCAAATGCACGAAGTTTAAGAGAAGAAGTGACTGGATAAAACACACCTTGACCTGGATCATTTTTCAGGTAACGCAGAATGCGATGCGCAGCAACAAGATGAGGTGCTCGGGGATTACTCATATATTGACTCAACTTGTTGACTGCGAAACATATGTCAGGTCTTGTGACAGTAAGATAGACCAACTTACCAATGAGCTTCCTGTAATGAGAAGGATCAGAAAGCAAGTCACCAGTTTCCTGGCTTAATTTGAGATTGAGCTCCATTGGTGTTGGTACAGGTTTACAACCAAGAAAACCAAATTCTTCAAGTAACTCCAATGCATATTTTCTCTGTGAAACAGAGATTCCTTCTTTGGATCTAGCAACTTCTAATCCCAGAAAATATCGCAGTTGCCCCAAATCTTTGATCTTGAACTCTTTAGCTAGCAACTGTTTGATATCCACTATTGCAGAGTCCTTGTTACTGACAAGCATTATATCATCCACATAGACCAATAGTGCCAGAAAACAACCAGAAGTGACTCTGACAAACATAGTCGGATCAAAGAAGGATTGAAGAAAACCATTTTGCAGGAGAACACCAGAAAACTTGTGAAACCATTTTCTTGAAGCCTGCTTAAGACCATATAAAGATTTTACAAGACGACAGACAGGTTTCTCTGGTAAAATCTCCCCCTGTCTTGGTGTATAACCCTGTGGCAGATGCATATAAATCTCCTCTTCTAAATCACCATGGAGGAATGCATTAGTAACATCCATCTGATTAATGCTCCAGTTGTGAATTGCAGACAGAGCAAGCATTAATCTGACAGAAGAAAGCTTAGCAACAGGACTAAAAGTGTCTATATAATCTACACCTTCTTGTTGAGTATAGCCCTTAGCAACTAAGCGAGCTTTGTATCTTTCAATAGAGCCATCAGATTTATATTTGATTTTATACACCCATTTGCAACCAATAGCATGTTTCCCATCAGGTAAAGAACAAATCTCCCAAGTGGATGTACTCACCAGAGCATCCAACTCCAGGTTCATCGCATCAAGCCATTGTTTCAACAAAACTGCTTCTTTAAAGGATTTTGGTTCTTTCTCAGAAATAATGGCAAAACAGAACAGACGATACTCATGAGAGAGTTTATCGTAGGACAAATAAGCAGAGAGAGGATGAGCAGTACCATGAAGAGAAGGAGAAGGCTCTTTGGTAATAAGAGAGCAATGGTACTGTGAAAGATAACTAGGAGCACGTGTCTCTCTACGAGGCCTAAGTGTGTTAGCCATACCATCCCGAGTCTGAGCATTTTGATTTGAAGTGTTTATGTTACGTGTATGTGTGTGCTCTAGAACAGTATTAGCATCAGTGATAGGATCATTCTCAGCCAAAGAAGTAGTAAAATCATCATAGACTTTTAAATTTTCCAAATCTTTTAAATGTTGTTCAGAAGCAGGAAGCATAGAATCATCAAAGAAAGAAATGCTGCGAGAAACTGAATTATCAATAAAAGGAAAAATGGTTTCATGGAAAACAACATTGCGAGTAATTGAAATTGTATTAGATTCAAGATCCAAAACTTTGTAACCTTTAAAACCGGGTTCATAACCAATGAATGCACATGCTCTAGCTCTCTCTGTAAACTTATGTCTATCATGCTGATGAGAAGATGCATAAGAAAGACAACCAAAGACTCTTAGAATAGTATAATCTGGTAACTTCTTGTTTAAAAGCTCAAAAGGAGACCTATCATTTAAAACTGGTGTGGGAATTCTATTAATCAAGAAAGCTGCAGTTGAAACACATTCTGGCCAATATGAAAGAGGAATGTTTGATTGAAAATATAATGATCTAGCAACATTCAGAAGATGCTGATGTTTACGTTCTACTACAGAGTTTTGTTGAGGAGTGTATGCACAAGAATGATAATGAAAAATGCCATGTTTAGCTAATAATTCTTTGAATTGTAATTCTGGTGCATTATCAGATCTTATACTTTTAACTTTGAAACCATATTGATTATGAACTAATGCCAAGAAATCTGGAAAAACTTTTGAAACATCACTTTTTAACTGAAGAAAATAAAGCCAAGTAAAACGTGTGCAATCATCAACAATTGTTAAGAAATATCGAAAACCTTTGACAGAAGTTATATGAAAAGGACCCCAAACATCAATGTGAATCAAAGAAAAAGGTTCCTCAGAAATTTTATTATTGGAAATAAAAGGCAAGCGTTTTTGTTTTGACATATGACAAATCTTACAATGAAATTCAGAAATTTTTGAAGGAATGTTTAAATTGGAAGAAACAGATTGAATTCTTGAAAGAGATGGATGTCCAAGACGCTGATGCCAAAGCTCAGGAGAGACAGTAATGAATGCAAGATAATGCTGATCTTTATCAGGTGGAGGTGGTGAATTTAAGAGATAAAGATCATTGGATTGATCCCCTCTTCCAATCGTCCAAGCCTGAGTATGATCCTGAATTAAACAAGAATCATGATAAAAATGAATAGAAAGATTTTTATTTGTTTTTGTTAAAGAACTAATGCTAATGAGATTAAAATGAAAATCAGGAACATAAAAAACAGGATGAAGAATGAGACTATCACTAAGCTTAATTGTTCCAGCAGTGTGAATGGAGATTTGAGTGTTATTGGGAAGGTTTATTGTGGTATGCTCAACTCGGTAGGTATTAGAAAACATACTAAGGTCACAGCAGATATGACAACTAGCTCCAGTATCTAAGATCCAGACATTATGTGGAACAATAAGGCCTGGTTCGAAAGCAGAAATATAGTGACAAGGTACAAGAGGCATACCTTGTGCTGAGATTGAACCAATATGTTGTGAAACAGGCTGAGGACATATGACTTGATACGGAGAACCTTGAAGTTGTCTATTCAGTTGTGTAACCACCTGAGAAACTTGATTTCCACCATGTGAGCTAGTACCAGCAACAAAACCACTTCCAGAATGAACCATGTTAACAGAATGATTAGTCAACTGAGGATTACTGACAACAGGAGTACTAACAACAGGAGTAGTAGAAGACTGTCCAGCAGTGACAAAAGGACCAGTTTGAGAGCCAGCATGAGCAGTATAGGGTTGACCTGTGTAGTAAACCGGATTCTGCGGAACTGGAGCTTGAAACTGTGGATTTGGAACATAAAACATCTGTTGTTGTTGATCAGGAGACTGAAGATAAACATTCTGCTCTGGAGATTGTGAATAAACCATATGAATTCCATTCTGCTGTGGAAACTTTGCTTTAGAAGGATCACCTTGAGAACCAGAAGGAAGAGGAATCTTATAGCCTGGAGGATATCCATGCAACTTATAGCATCTTGCAACTGTATGTCCAAGCAAACCACAATGAGTACAGAGAGGACGAGGACGTCCCTGTTGATGAGGATTCTTTGATTTCTGATAACCCATGGATGCTTGAAAAACAGGATTCTCTGGTATAGGTGATGTAGTTAAGCCTCGTTGCTGTTCATCTTGAGAAACAAAGTTGTAAATCTTTGTGAAATCTGGAAGAGGATCCATCATAAGAATCTGGCGACGAGTCTGAGTAAAAGACTCATTCAAACGCATTAAGAATCTGACAATGTTGCGCCTCTCATAGAGTTGAAGCCAACGATCATTAGATCCACATGTATAATTACCACAGTTACAGGAAGGTAATTCTTCGAAGTTCTTTAGCTCTTCCCATAGAGTAGTAAGACGAGTGTAGTATGCATTGAGATCTAAAGATCCTTGATGTAAACGATCCAATTGATCTTGAACGCTATAGATTTTAGACAAATTACTCTGCCTAAATCTACCTTCCAGATTCAACCACAACAAATGAGCATCATCGAAATAAACGGTGCTAGAACCTAGATCCTTCGTTACAGAGTTCGTAATCCAAGTACATACCATATCGTTGCATCGAGTCCATGCTCCATAATCAGCGTGAGTTTCTGGCGGTTTGGTGATACTTCCATTGATGAATCCGAGTTTGTTCTTGGCGTTTAAAGCTTTGAGGATAGATCGTCGCCAAGTGTGGTAGTTAGATTCACCGGTGAGCTTATCAAGGACCAAATTCACACCAGAATTATCAGCAGCATGAAGATACAACGGATTTGCGTAAGGATCGGAGTTCGTAGCAGCTTGATTTGACATTGCAAGAAGAAATCGTAACTAGATTCAGCTGAAAGAAGAAGAAAGAACGCGATCGGAATGTAACGCGATCGGAAAAGCAAGAAAACGATGAAGAAGAAAGAAAATCTCCGATGAAAACGCAGATAATGAATCGGAGAAGAAGAAGATGATGGATTCAAGAGAAACAAACGAAAGATGGAGGATGATTTGATGATTTGATTTTGCGGAAGATGAATGAAACTTGAAGAAGAAAAGCTGGAAGAAAAAAATGCTCTGATACCATTTCAGATCTAACAAACTTTCCCTTTCAATTATGATTATGCTTCATTAAGTTGGAAATAAACATAGAATGTTCCTTAAATACAAACATCTAAACCAAGAATATGGTTAACCAAATGAGAAAGATAAACCGGGACAATAACCAATATATAGACTCTGATATCATCATCTAAATTAAACATGTATATTGTGTAATGCATGTTGACGTTATTATATATTCATGCACTGGGTGTTTCAAACATGAATATTCAGTGTAAAATATTTTGATCAGAAATGCGTCTTCATGCGTTTCAATGAACCACAAAAAAAAAAAAACATTTACGTGAGAATAAATGAAGTGACGAGGAAGGGTGGGATGCGTGTTGTACTTGGTTTGGTTCTCTTAACATAAATCTAGACGTACGTGAACAATAGACTAAATATGAATCGAGAGTTTCAATTATTTTCATAGTAACACGTACGCCATCAAATCAAAACAAGAATGAGTTCTTACAGTCACTCACACAAATGTACAAAAACACTGAATAAAATAATAATAATAATAGGTTCAAACATTCATGTGCATGAGGATTAATTACTGAACATTGACTAATTAGTCCGAGAGCTGGAGAGTTATTTTCGGTATATATCTGGTCTATGAATTGGATATGTCTTAATCAAAATATACGAATCAAACCAAATTTTGCCAGTTTGACATAAATTAATTTTAAGCTTGGTTCATACATGTAACATGTGCAGTGAATAAACTTATTATGTTATTATCTTTTCGATCTCATGAAACAATTTCACCTATTTTGTATCATAATCTTAAACATTTTTCTTTAAACGAATTGTTGTATAACAAAATTAAGATGTTATATTATAACTCTACCTCCATAAATTCATCTGGATCTTTTTTGCAACCAGTTTATTATATCTCTACATATTTGAATCTCGGTATAGATAACATGACAACCCTTCAACACAAATCACTGTTAGACAAGAAAGCCCAAACTAAAAACATTGGAACTAACACAAATATAATGACATCATTATGCTGGTTGGAGAAATATATAGATTTCTAGTTTAGGTTTTCATAGTTGTGTACTTAAACAAACAAAAAAAAAAACATACAATAGATTGAATTATAAAATCAAACCAGACTTGTATATTCAATATATAGGTGATACTAATTCTGAAAATATATCATTACTAGTTACATCAACCTTATCAAACGGTGCGTACACCCTAATTTCGTACATATATCTCTCTCAGGCTCCTTCACATCACATATGCTTCACTATCATCATCGCATTGATTTTCAATGGGTAGTCTTGGATCTTCCGAAAACACAAAGATGAAAGTCTTGGATAATAAAGCTTAGAACCAAAATTGACAAAGAACGAAAGTCGCAGAGCCGTAGAGAATCTACTGCACTTGAGCGAAAAACCGCCTAATCCCGGTGTGCAAGATAACCAAGACGGCTCACTCCAGGGTTCACTCTGCTCTCAATTGTGTTGTGCACTCAACCCAAAAGAGATGAAGCTCTCAAACTCAAACTCAGAAATTTAGAAGAAGAAGAAAATAGAAGAGAGATCTTTTCTACTTGATACCTCAATCGAGTCTCTCCCAAAACTCCTTTTAAAGACCAAAAAAACGAATCTAATCAAGTTAGATTTTTGTGCCATGGGAATCGCTCATTCCCAGCCACCGCGTGGCCAACGAAGTGAAACAGGTGAGAAAATTCAGCCACGTTCTTTGACTTAATCTTTTAGGGTGAAGGAGATTTGACATAACAACAATACCAACGTGGGTCTTAAGAGCCCATTTCAAAATTCATAAAGCCCAATTGAAGAAACAGACCCAACAATCCCCCACATGTTTCAAAATTGAAAGAGACGTTGATGTCTTGTTAAGACTTGAATCAACAAAGAAAATAGTTTGAGAGCTTCGCATATCAAATACAAAGTATTATAAGCATATTACATAACCCTGCATCATAAGTGTTCTAGTGAGTTAGCCCACAACTCATCTAGTTAGGCAACCTTTGCCTTAACACTTACTTAGGTGACTTATCAAGTGTGTGTTGTCTCACACCCCCATACAGGAATAAGTTCATTAAGAGACCATATGTCTCAACCTTCCAAACGACAACAACATGGGAGCTTCACTATCATCAGATTAATATCATTCCTTCGTTTGACCAATTTGAACCAATAATTCAGAAGTGAATAGAATTTTGGTTTGGTATCCAGAATGATCTAACCTGAAAAAGGCTTTAGTCCCATTTCCTTTGCTGTGTCCAGGACCATTCGTCCACACAAGCCTTTCGTGAGAGGATCAGCTATATTCTTCCCTGATCTCACGAATTCTAGTGATAACACTCCAGCTTCAATCAAGCTTCTTATCACTTTATGTCGCATACGTATATGCCTTTTCTTCCCGTTATACAGCGCGTTCATCGCCACAGCAATCGCAGCTTGAGAGTCACATCTCATAGACACGGAAGGACAAGGTCTTCCCATCATCGGAAAATCCGCTAGCAGGTTTCTTAACCACTCAGCTTCTTGTCCTGCCAATTCAAGAGCAATTAGTTCAGATTCCATAGTGGAACGAGCAATACAAGTCTGTTTAGTAGATTTCCATGCTATAGCTCCACCAGCCAAAGTAAATACAAAGCCACTGGTGGAATTCACTTCATCATTATCTGAACTCCAATTAGCATCACAATAAGCTTCAAGAACACAAGAAGTACCAGAATAACACAAGTTCCAATCAATAGTTCCCTTTAGATATCGCATTAAGCGGTTAAGTGCCGACCAGTGATTAGAACCAGGATTATGAGTATATCTACTCAACCTACTCACAGCATATGCAATGTCAGGTCTAGTGCAATTCATCAAATACATTACGCTGCCTATCACCTTAGCATATTCAGGTTGATTCACACTTTCTCCTCTATTTTGACACAAATGCAAAGATGAATCATAAGGAGACTTAGCACTAGGTTCAACCCAATATCCAAATTTCTTTAGAATTTTTTCAATATAATGAGACTGGTTCAAAGAAAATCCAGAGTCAGTTTTAACGACTTTAATTCCAAGAATGACATCAGCTTCTCCTAAATCTTTCATGTCAAATTTAGAACTCAAGAAAACCTTTGTGTCACAAACAATTTCGAGAGATGTGCCAAGAATAAGCATGTCATCTACGTATAAACATATAATGACGTATCCATGTTCATGCACTTTAGAGAACACACACGTATCACCTTCATTTGAAACAAAGCCATTTTCAAGCAACGTGTTACTAAATTTTTCAAACCATTGCTTAGGAGCTTGCTTAAGACCATAAAGAGACTTAATCAATTTGCAAACTTTATTCTCTTGACCTTCTATAATAAATCCCTCAGGTTGCATCATATAAATTTCTTCATGCAAATCACCATTTAAAAATGCTGTTTTCACATCCATTTGATGCACAACTAATTTATGAGCAGATGCAACAGCAAGCAACATGCGAATGGAAGAAATTTTAGTAACAGGAGCATAAGTATCAAAATAGTCTACTCCCTGTTTTTGCGCAAACCCTTGAGCCACCAGCCTCGCCTTGAACTTGTCAATAGAACCATCAGCCTTGAATTTTTTCTTTAAAATCCATTTGCATCTGATAGCTTTGCATCCCCTAGGCAAATCAACAATCTCCCAAGTATGGTTAGTCATGATAGAATCAAACTCATTATTAACTGCTTCTTTCCAAAAAACAGCATCTACAGATTTCATAGCTTCTGAAAACGTTTTTGGATCTTCTTCTATCAAGAATGCAAACACAAATTCTTCACTAATCTCATCATATTCAGCTAGAAAGGTAGTAATAAAATCTGGACCAAAATCAGTTTCAGTTCTCATTCTTTTACTCCTTCTAGGTTCTTCAGCATCATCATGAATTCTTTTAGCATTACTTGAAGAAGCAAAATCTATATTAGCTGAATCATGGGAAGAGGCGAAGTCTAAGTTTCTCTTAAAAGGAAACACATTCTCAAAAAATTCAACATCTCTAGACTCAATCATGCTATCAAATTGCAAGGAATCATGCTTAAATGTTAAACAACGGTAAGCAGCACTGTTCAAAGCATAACCAACAAACACAGCATCAACAGTCTTAGGACCTATGGTGGTTCTTTTAAAGGCTGGCAGTCCTACTTTAACAAGACACCCCCACACTTTCAAATAACTCAAATTAGGAGAATGACCTTTCCAAAGTTCATAAGGTGTAACAGAGATTCCTTTATGAGGTACTTTATTCAGAATATAACATGCAGAAAGAATAGCTTCCCCCCACATTTGATCAGGCAACCCAGAACTAATAAGCATAGCATTCATCATTTCTTTAAGGGTTCGATTTTTCCTTTCAGCAATGCCATTTTGCTGGGGAAAATAAGGTGCAGTTCTTTCATGAATAATACCCTCTTTCAAACACAAAGAATTCAGAATTTCAGATTCATATTCTCCACCTCTATCAGACCTTAACCTCTTAATTTTTCTATCTAGTTGATTTTCTACTTCAGCTTTATATCGCATAAACATTTCACAAGCCTCATCTTTTGTTCTTAACAAATAAACCCTTGTATATCTAGAACAATCATCAACAAAAGTGATATAATAATGCTTGCCACCTCTACTAGTGGTGTTTTTAAAATCAGCCAAATCTGAGTGAATGAGCTCAAGCAATTCAGATTTTCGATTAACAGGATAAGAAAACGGTTTTCTAGCATGCTTTGCTTCCACACAAATTTCACATTTTGAGATATCTTTTTCCAAGTTATCAGGAATCAGATTAGCATGCTTTAAGCGTCTAATAGAGTTCACATTTAAGTGTCCTAATCTGCCATGCCATGTATCCAAAACACTCACAAAGTAAGCAGAAGCACCAGCACTTTCATTCATTATTTCAAGAACAAAGAGATTTCCCTTACAAAAAGCTTTTCCCACATACCCCCCATTCTTAGTTATCACTAACTTACCAGCCTCAAGAGTTTGCTTAAACCCAGCAATCATCAACAAAGCACTAGAAATTAAATTCCTACGCATGTTTGGAACAAACAAAACCTTAGTCAAAGTTAAAACTCTTCCAGATGATAATTTCAAATTAACTTCTCCAATTCCAGCAACTTGTAAAGCACTAGCATCACCCAAGAAGACATTATCACGTGGAGATTCATCAAGAGTTTTAAAGAGAGACTTCTGGCTGCAAATGTGACGTGTGGCACCTGAATCAATGATCCATTCCACCACGTCAATTGCAGCGTTTACCTCAGTGACGACAGCAATTAGGTCTTCAGTAAGATGAGCTTTGTTTGACTCCTTTTGCTGTGGAGGTAAGCGACAATCCTGCTTCTTATGTCCAGGCTTGTTACAATTCCAGCACTTCAGTTTCTTCTTGAATTCAACAGATGGTGTAATAGGATTAGACTTTTGAGGAGTCTTTCCTTGGTTTTTGTTGGATTTGAACCTGTTCTTTACACCACCAGAACTTTCCACAACGTTAGCATCATTAGGAATTGAACGAGACACTGTTTTATTACCTAAGTAGTTTCTGTTTGCGTCTTCGATCATTATGTCTGCAATCAGCTCATCAAGCGACATCTTCTTTTTCTCATGCTTCAGCTTGGAGCGATAGCCATTCCATGACGGAGACAGTTTGTCAACGAGTACCAAAGCAGCCAGTTGCTCATCGATTGGTATACCCTCGGCCTGAATCTTGGAGACAATGGCTTCATACTCATGGAGTTGATCGAGAACGGGTTGATCGTCCTTCATCTGAAATGAGGTCCATTTTGAAGTGACGTACTGCTTCTTGCCTTCATCTTCGGCTCCGTACCTTTTCTTCAAGTTGTTCCATATCTCCTTTGCAGATTCATAGTTGACATAGATATCAAACAGCTTCTCCGAGAGGTGCCTGATGATATGACCACGACATGTGCGGTTGTGATCTTCAAAGCTTCCTTCCGGTTTTGGCTTGCTTGATTGTGTCAAAACATCTTGAGAATTCCCGGAGGTAGGCGTTTCAGAGGAGGAAGTGGGCTTGTCTTCAACAAGGACGTAGCTTAAGCCAACCTCTTGAAAGAAGAACATGAGTTCCTCCGACCAGCGACGGTAATTTGAGCCAATCAAAGGCTGGAGCTTTGACAAATCGGGCACTGCAGAGTTCTTCGGCATTCTGAATCGTAATGGAACCAACAAATAATTTTTTCGCTCAAGATTGTTGGAAATAAAGCTTAGAACCAAAATTGACAAAGAACGAAAGTCGCAGAGCCGTAGAGAATCTACTGCACTTGAGCGAAAAACCGCCTAATCCCGGTGTGCAAGATAACCAAGACGGCTCACTCCAGGGTTCACTCTGCTCTCAATTGTGTTGTGCACTCAACCCAAAAGAGATGAAGCTCTCAAACTCAAACTCAGAAATTTAGAAGAAGAAGAAAATAGAAGAGAGATCTTTTCTACTTGATACCTCAATCGAGTCTCTCCCAAAACTCCTTTTAAAGACCAAAAAAACGAATCTAATCAAGTTAGATTTTTGTGCCATGGGAATCGCTCATTCCCAGCCACCGCGTGGCCAACGAAGTGAAACAGGTGAGAAAATTCAGCCACGTTCTTTGACTTAATCTTTTAGGGTGAAGGAGATTTGACATAACAACAATACCAACGTGGGTCTTAAGAGCCCATTTCAAAATTCATAAAGCCCAATTGAAGAAACAGACCCAACACCATATAAACAAACCATAAAAAAAAGTTTTGAGGGTTTACATAGGAAGTAAGCAAAAACACATATGACTTATAAAGAAGAGAAAAATACTTAGAATGCGATAAAGTAAATTATACATATATGAAAAATAGACATCTCTATGGATTCATTTTCTTGCGACAAAGACGTGAAAATAAAAACCGTTTAATCTTTAACCGAATCTCTTAAACTATAGATAAAATATAAAAGGTACTTGAGCAATATACCTAAAGTTGTGTGAAGCTTTCTGATTTCGGAAGATAAGAGTCTATGGAAAATTAAGGAGATGATGATAATGAAGTATATGCCATGTGAAAGAACTATCTTCTCTACATAACAAAGAACATATTTGATAAAAAGGAGAGGAAGGATCGTGACCTTATAGACCACTTCAAGATTTAGTATATAGTAGTGAGCTTACGGATTCAACTAGTGAAAATAGAAGTCGAGAATGGTATGGGAAGATTTGAATTAGTTAACAAAAGGCAGTGAGATTGGTACCACCAAACCCCAATTTATTAAATGACTACATTAATATATACCGAGTATGAGCTATTTTTGTTACTACATGGTGTGTGTGCCGGTAAGATGGTAACATATAGTCAACCTTATTACCTAAAGAGAACAAACAATTACATTTAGCTTAATCGGTTATATAGTCTTTTAGACTTTTATTGTTGTTACTAGAGATGATGACTTTCTTCTTTCTCCAATCTCATATTTGGGAACGTTCTTTAATCTCCAAGTTCAAAGCATGTGGACTTTAATGTGTAAATAACAAAATTTGCTTAATGTTAATATGTATATTTGCTTTTATTCTGTTGTATAATCATATTCGTATACATACTTATTTCAAATAGAATAGAAGAAAATAATCTATCCACATTTGTAACGCGAATACGATTAACCAAAAAATGGTGCAACACCCAAAGAAAATCAGTAAAGGATGGAAGAAACAAGAAAGAAACCAATAGAAGAAAAAAAAAAGTTATGAAGTTTTGTTGACAGAATTAGATGAAGAAGAAGTGGGAATGGTATTATTATCTTCTTCGCATTGTTTCAACAATTCACTGAAGGAAGGATCATAAGCCACCACTCTTCTCAAATACTTTGCTGCTTCCTCTCTCCTTCCTTCGTTGAATATAGCACTGCACACACAAAATGATAAGAAGAACACATTACTCAAGATTAAAGTCATGAGAATAATTTACTTGTTTTTGTTTTTACCTTGAGTAGAGTACCAATGCGTCCAAGTAATGAGCTTTGCTCTTGGGATCGTCAGGCTCTTTCATGTTTGCTACTCTTTCAAGGTGAGTGATTCCTTCCGATGTCTTTCCCTAAAGCCATGAGCGAACAATTCTTTGAGTATTTTCGCATCAACGTGTGTATACAAAAAGATAGGTGAAGACAAGAAATTTGTGTGAATAATGCACCTGGCGAATATTGGAGACACCTGCCCATTGGGATGCAACAATTAAAAGATCGACTTCTTCAACTTCTGTTGGACTGGTATCAAGAAGCTGAGAGGGTCATAATTACCTTTGATTAATTTTGTTATAGGTTTCTTATCAAATGTCCTAAAGAATGAGACATCAAAATCTCACCTTTGAAGCAGCCAGCTCTAAGTATTTTGCAGCTTCAGCAAACTGGTCTTTCTGATATAAAGCCTGGCCAAGAATAACCATAGCTTGAAGGTATTCAGGATCTTTTTCTAATGCCAATCTGAATAAAAAAACACAACTAATTAACTACAACATCCAAGGAAATGCTTTTCATGATGAGAAGCAATCATAGCTACATAGTTACCTTAATAGCGGAATTGATTTATCCTTGTTCCCTCCGGATAAGTATTTGGCAGAAAGCTGGTAGGAAAAGCTTTTAACATAAGTAACAAACAAGTGGAAAACTAAATATTGTAAAAACATCCTGATCCATGACATTGACTTACAGCAACCAACTCTTTAGGGGTTAAGTTATGCCCTGAGATCAAGCGTCCTTTTGAGGATGAATCAGTAAGTTTTGCTTCATTAATGTTTGTTAATATAGGATTGCCAGCCTCTTTCTGTACAGAGTCATTTGCTTGTAGGCCCAACTTTGCACTTACAACGGGGTGGTTAAGGATTGATTGCTACAAAGCCAATGCACTTTATGAGAGAATCGAAGGGTACTTACATCTTTAATGTTAAAGGGAAGGTAGAGAGTTATTGTGAACAGAGATACAGACCATAACCAGCATAAAAACCAATCTCCCTAAACAGAGTTACTAAACTTTTAACTAATTACTACAAAGTTATCAGTAACTTGGGGTCAACGTCTACGATAAGCTTTGGATCCTCAACTCAACAATCCGCATCATTCATCCCTGACTCAAATGCTGTGTGGCACTTGCCACTCTATAATGGAGTGTTTAGTTTAGATGAATTCAAGATTAAGAACACCCTAAGTAATTTTTCGATTTGCCCAATTTTTCACACAAATTCTTCATCTTAACGAGTTTAACTATGATCTCATTTTTTGTCCAGAGAAAGCTTGTCCCAAAAGATACCACACCATACAAAGCATAAATTTGACAGCATCAAAAGACAAACACCATTAGTAGATCTTGGACTGCAATCTTTAGAACAAACCTGAGCTATGCTGAATGACAAATTGGTAGCCCAGTAGAGTAGACTTCCCTGAGAAGTAATTGTGAAAAAAAGAATGAGAAGAAATGAAACTTTTGAACAGGAAGCAATGTAAAAATACAGTATTCCCAATAGAAAGAATGGGGTGAAAATGGCTGTTCCAGGGAGTAATAGTAAAGTGAGAGCAGTAGCTCTTAAACAAAACTCAACCAGACACTAGGTTTACAATGGAACGACACATGACTCTAGAGAAGGAAGATGGTTTTGTTTGAATGGCATAGTTTCAAGATTGGTCACCAATACGGGTTTTACAAAAGGATATAAGTCAAACTGGTCAAGTAAAGCGGAGTTTTGTGTTTTAAGAAATCTAGTTGAAGGACATTGCACTAAACCGGTATCAAAATATAGTCATGATAATGGAAAAGACTATCTGGACACAAAGATAAAGCATGGCAATGTTATACACTAACATCTTAGATGGAATCTGAACATCACAACTTCAGAAGAGGGGGGGGGGGGGGGGGGATAAGATAAGCGATCAATTTACCTGAGGCATTTGGAATGAAAGGCCATAAAGAGCAAATGTCAAAAAATTCAAAAACATCTTGAAAGTCTGCAGAAGAAAACAGAAACACCCATCAATTGTTAAGTAGCATGCATAAAGAACAGTGCATAAAAAAAACTCTTTCTTTTTCGGTAGAATTTGGTATTTTACTTGATGCCAGGCAACCAAGTCACACTAACTTTTCTGGCCAAAAAGTTCATTGAAGTATATATGAAGAAATATAGACTTCCTATGACAAAACTGGACAACAAAGTAGAAAAACTCACTTTTGCCAGTTCCGCGAATTTATCAACTTTGTGAACTGAGGATGCTGTAAAAGTTATCTGCAGGAAAATGTGTATATATTTCAAACAAGCAGGAATACAGAAAATAACAGGAAGTATAGTTCAAGAGAATTAGAGAAATGATTCTAGTTGATGAGATGTAACATAAGTGTTACTTAAGCTTTCATGATCCAACAAAGAACCAAACAGTACATACCTGTGTGTTTGTGTAATGCAAACCAGCTATTAAAAAGGGGAAAAGAGGACCATAAAGACCATTGGGAACTTCGGTCAAATTCTGAAACCATAAAGCTCCACCCTGCAAGCAATGGGACAAAGGATTCTATTAAAAGGAGAGTGTGGCAGAAGACATTTTCCAATATACCGACTAAATGACGATAATATAAGGCCTGAAATAGAAGAAAACAAAAGTCCTAAAATATACAATTTCAAAATACGCTTATAAGTGAACCCAATATACTGGCTGGCGACTTACCGAATCAAATCCAGGATGATGATCAAGTGACATTCTTCTGATGCTAGTTATCCACAAGAAAAAACATGAAATCTGCAGCAAGAAGAAGGGGGGAGTAAGCCTACAACTTCTTGCCACTCAAAGAATTATATTTCAAGTTATCTGTAGACCAAATATTTACACTCATAAGTAATGTTACATGAGTGGTAAAAACTAAAAGACGCACTAATAACACAAAACTAGCCATCTAAGCTCTATAAATATGGTCTCATTTCACTCATGCAAAAGTCAACAAGGCTGCGAAAAGTAAACAATTTCGAAATTTCTACAGAAATATGAACGGCATGGAATATCATAATACTTTTAGTTCCACACGAAGATATGAAGCATAACCTGGATGGAGAAATAAGCAGGAACCCACAAAAACGAAGGGCACCCGCTATCTCTTCTTTCCTTCCGGAAAAGCTTCAACTGATCAATAACACTCCTTCCTGAACCCTCTGGAGGCCAGAAAGGCGGTACTACAAGAAAAACACTATCAAATTATTAGCATCTAGTCACAACCACCAATGTTGAGCTCTGTTATTTTCAAAGCAATAACTATTTTTTAAAAAAATTATCGCTTATATATGTGTGACCAAAATTTTGACGAGGCTTTATGGTCTAAAACCTTATGTAAAACCAGATTATAAAATTTTGGGGATTAAGATTTGGATTAAGATTTAATGGGTCAAAACAGGAAAAAGATTAGGATTATTAATCAAATCCCTTTAATACCCCGATATTCCTCGGATTTAAAGGAGAAAACATAACCAACAAAAAAGAGAACTTGCCAAAAGAGATGGTGTCTATAGTGACCATAGAATAACAAGAGAGGACATGCGATGTTTTCTTTTCACACCCGACGTTTCTTTGGTAATCTGCAACCATTATGAGCTTTCCTAGTCGTGTCCTCGATGTACACTATCGGATTCTGATCAGACCTAGAGTTGGTGAAACCGTCCCTAAACGCAATAATGGCTTTCTTCTTCTTCCCGAAGTGTGTAAATCCGTTAACCTTAACAACCACAGATTTCAGTCCCATAGCCTTAGCTCTTCTCCCAATGTTTTCTGCGGTTGCATCAGCTGTGTAATTTGTCATCTTCCGTCCACCTTTCAGATCGGGTAAACTACCGGATGTTGCTTTGCATTTGACGTTTCCTTTGGAATCTGTAACCGTGACAAAAGTGTTGTTCCGCAACATCTTGATGTGAATGATGTCAGCATTCGTTTCGAGGTTTGGGCGATGGAAATGAGAGAATATCCCTGAGGTTCTCCTTCCTTCATCTTCTATTACTTCTCTAACAAAATCCAGGTCGCTTGACTTCCCTCCACTGCGGGGATTCTCATTGAGAAGTGAAGATTGAGTGAAATTCTCGTAGCTTGATACACTAGGAGCAGAGAATCCGCTTCCTCCAGTTGGTAAGCCTGGATTCGTCTGACTGAACTGATCAGGTAGGGAGTTAGGTAATCTTGATCTCAGTGAATTTTTGAAGGTAGGAGGAGCATTAGGAGCCGAGAAACCGTTTACTCCTCTGTTTAACAAGCCTGCTTTCATATCACCGAAAGTTCTCAGAGTCGGAGGGTTAGGCTCCGAAGGGGAACCGAATCTTCCCGTGTTTGGTAAGCCTGAATTATTTGCAGACTCTCCAGGAACTAGCCCTTGCTCTCTGAATCTCCCTCCTGTTCAAAGAAAAATCAATCAATACATATACGTTTTTATTCCCTCCTCGCATAATTCTGATGATTTTTCAACTAAAGACTAAAGCTGTTCCACAGGACGACATAATCTGGAAAACTAACTAAATAATTGTTTTCTAGATTCAGAATTTGTAGATTTCTCGTTATCAATCGCAACTATTGCCTAATTTCTGAATAAAGCAAAATGTTTAAGAGCCATAAGAAGCTAATCTTTGAGATTACGCGAGTCTAATTGATTCAATCCTCGATTTTGTACTTCTAGGTAAAGGTTACAATCCTAACGCGAATCGAACAATCCCTAATCACGAAATTGCACATTTTCATGGAGAACAACATCACTTGACGATAGTGAATAACTTAACTGACGAATCCAAAACTTTGATAGTACAAATGCATAAATCAGATAAAACCCAGAAAGATTGATCCCAAATCAACTCGTTAATCTGAGCCATTTACTCAAAATTGAAGCAAATTCGCTTGCTCGGAGCGGAAGAGATAAAGAATGGGAAATAACGAACCAGAGAAGCCATCAGATTGAGACGAAAATCGACAGACCGAATTGATTCCACCATAGCTGCGAATCAACGACGGAAGTGAAGAAGCTCGAAGATAACGAGAAACACCATTCATTTTCTTCTCGAAGCAAATTTTGGAGGTTTAGGGTTTTTTTCTTTCAAACATTTGTGAGCATTTTCTTCGTTCTCGATCACATAAACAGTAGATCTGAATTCTGTACTGCTTATTGGGCCTTCTCAATTTAAATGGGCCTATCTGACCCATATGCCCATTTATTTCTAAAATTGAATGATACAATACAACAATTACAAATATCTTTTTGTGCTTGATCTTTAAACAGACAACAAAGAATTTGAACAAAAAGTACAAAACAAGCAGAAAAAATATACAGTTTGTTTACCTTTGCAAATAATCCTACGTCTAACGTAACAAAGACTCTTCACAATCCAAATTCTCATTCTGAAACTCTGCCAAATCAGAACTGACTGAGAATTTGACCCATCTCTTTCGATCAATGTGGTTCAAACAAGGTTTCATCAAGAAGCCAAATATTACCATCACAAAGCTCACTAAAGCCACTTTCAGAGTAGATAGGACAACAACGAAACAGATCAGTACAATGGGAGGAACACAGATCAAAATCGAACCAACGGTTCCAACGGGTATCTTATAGGGTCTCAATGCAGCCGGATGTTTTATCCTCATTCTAACAAATGCTATCAACTCCAAAATCATTCCACCACAGTAAAGCAAATTCTCTGCAGCTACAATCTCTTGAAAGCTTAATGCGTCTTCATGCGTTTCAACGAACCACAAAAAAAAAAAAAAAACATTTACGTGAGAATAAATGAAGTGACGAGGAAGGGTGGGATGCGTGTTGTACTTGGTTTGGTTCTCTTAACATAAATCTAGACGTACGTGAACAATAGACTAAATATGAATCGAGAGTTTCAATTATTTTCATAGTAACACGTACGCCATCAAATCAAAACAAGAATGAGTTCTTACAGTCACTCACACAAATGTACAAAAACACTGAATAAAATAATAATAATAATAGGTTCAAACATTCATGTGCATGAGGATTAATTACTGAACATTGACTAATTAGTCCGAGAGCTGGAGAGTTATTTTCTGTATATATCTGGTCTATGAATTGGATATGTCTTAATCAAAATATACGAATCAAACCAAATTTTGCCAGTTTGACATAAATTAATTTTAAGCTTGGTTCATACATGTAACATGTGCAGTGAATAAACTTATTATGTTATTATCTTTTCGATCTCATGAAACAATTTCACCTATTTTGTATCATAATCTTAAACATTTTTCTTTAAACGAATTGTTGTATAACAAAATTAAGATGTTATATTATAACTCTACCTCCATAAATTCATCTGGATCTTTTTTGCAACCAGTTTATTATATCTCTATATATTTGAATCTCGGTATAGATAACATGACAACCCTTCAACACAAATCACTGTTAGACAAGAAAGCCCAAACTAAAAACATTGGAACTAACACAAATATAATGACATCATTATGCTGGTTGGAGAAATATATAGATTTCTAGTTTAGGTTTTCATAGTTGTGTACTTAAACAAACAAAAAAAAAAACATACAATAGATTGAATTATAAAATCAAACCAGACTTGTATATTCAATATATAGGTGATACTAATTCTGAAAATATATCATTACTAGTTACATCAACCTTATCAAACGGTGCGTACACCCTAATTTCGTACATATATCTCTCTCAGGCTCCTTCACATCACATATGCTTCACTATCATCATCGCATTGATTTTCAATGGGTAGTCTTGGATCTTCCGAAAACACAAAGATGAAAGTCTTGGATCCATATAAACAAACCATAAAAAAAAGTTTTGAGGGTTTACATAGGAAGTAAGCAAAAACACATATGACTTATAAAGAAGAGAAAAATACTTAGAATGCGATAAAGTAAATTATACATATATGAAAAATAGACATCTCTATGGATTCATTTTCTTGCGACAAAGACGTGAAAATAAAAACCGTTTAATCTTTAACCGAATCTCTTAAACTATAGATAAAATATAAAAGGTACTTGAGCAATATACCTAAAGTTGTGTGAAGCTTTCTGATTTCGGAAGATAAGAGTCTATGGAAAATTAAGGAGATGATGATAATGAAGTATATGCCATGTGAAAGAACTATCTTCTCTACATAACAAAGAACATATTTGATAAAAAGGAGAGGAAGGATCGTGACCTTATAGACCACTTCAAGATTTAGTATATAGTAGTGAGCTTACGGATTCAACTAGTGAAAATAGAAGTCGAGAATGGTATGGGAAGATTTGAATTAGTTAACAAAAGGCAGTGAGATTGGTACCACCAAACCCCAATTTATTAAATGACTACATTAATATATACCGAGTATGAGCTATTTTTGTTACTACATGGTGTGTGTGCCGGTAAGATGGTAACATATAGTCAACCTTATTACCTAAAGAGAACAAACAATTACATTTAGCTTAATCGGTTATATAGTCTTTTAGACTTTTATTGTTGTTACTAGAGATGATGACTTTCTTCTTTCTCCAATCTCATATTTGGGAACGTTCTTTAATCTCCAAGTTCAAAGCATGTGGACTTTAATGTGTAAATAACAAAATTTGCTTAATGTTAATATGTATATTTGCTTTTATTCTGTTGTATAATCATATTCGTATACATACTTATTTCAAATAGAATAGAAGAAAATAATCTATCCACATTTGTAACGCGAATACGATTAACCAAAAAATGGTGCAACACCCAAAGAAAATCAGTAAAGGATGGAAGAAACAAGAAAGAAACCAATAGAAGAAAAAAAAAAGTTATGAAGTTTTGTTGACAGAATTAGATGAAGAAGAAGTGGGAATGGTATTATTATCTTCTTCGCATTGTTTCAACAATTCACTGAAGGAAGGATCATAAGCCACCACTCTTCTCAAATACTTTGCTGCTTCCTCTCTCCTTCCTTCGTTGAATATAGCACTGCACACACAAAATGATAAGAAGAACACATTACTCAAGATTAAAGTCATGAGAATAATTTACTTGTTTTTGTTTTTACCTTGAGTAGAGTACCAATGCGTCCAAGTAATGAGCTTTGCTCTTGGGATCGTCAGGCTCTTTCATGTTTGCTACTCTTTCAAGGTGAGTGATTCCTTCCGATGTCTTTCCCTAAAGCCATGAGCGAACAATTCTTTGAGTATTTTCGCATCAACGTGTGTATACAAAAAGATAGGTGAAGACAAGAAATTTGTGTGAATAATGCACCTGGCGAATATTGGAGACACCTGCCCATTGGGATGCAACAATTAAAAGAT